ACATAAACCTTGCGCAACTAACCAGCGGGTTGGTGGCTTAGCGGTTGTTTACAATGCTCACTTGAAAATTAAAGAGCTCTATCTACCAATGGCTCAGGCCACATTCGAGGTCCAGTCCATATCCCCTACTACTAACGAGTGCTTTTCCATTATTTCCATCTATCGCCCTCCAGATGGCAGCATCAACACCTTCTTAAATGAGCTTTCGGAATTCCTATATCTGATTCCTAACCCATCTCACAGGCTCGTGCTTACAGGTGACTTTAATTGCCCCGGCAATACCCCAGCCTCCATCGATAGTCACCTTGAGTCAACTTTGGCCTGCCATAACCTGGTCATCACAAACTCAGGCCCCACCAGAGCTTCGTCAACAAACGTTGAGAGCATGCTCAACCTGGTTCTGGAACCTAACCAGCACCGACGCATCACTGCACTGGGAGTTTTCCAAACTGGTTACTCCGACCACCGCCTCATACTTTCTTCCCTCCAATTTCCGAAGCCAATCACCATCAAATTCACCCGCAACTTGCGTAATTTTAAGGGTATCGAATTTTCTGCTTTTCGTCACCTCCTTGCAAACTTGCTTTCAATGTTATCCCCATCATCGGATCCAACCGTCTGCGCTCTCCAACTAGAAGCTGACATGAGGGCGGCGCTGGACAAACTAGCTCCATAAAAATCACGAACCGCTAGGCAGTCTTCTCACGACACTCACTGGCTCTCAAGAGATGCCATCATTGCTAAGCGAACCAGGAGGCGCCTTGAACGTATCGCATCCCGCAGTGGTCTACCTGCTGATCGACTTGCTTACAGAGTCGCCTGCAGGAAAACTAACAAACTAATCCTTGTCTCACGTTCCTCCCACATTGAGGAACGCATCAAAAAAGCAACCAGAAAACCGCGCATTCTATGGAAAACAATCAAAGATCTTTTCCATCCTGGTAGCACTATGGTCCCTCATCTTAGCGATCCCCTTGCCTCACTGAAACTTGCCACCTCTTTTCATACTTACTTCAACAACAAGCTAATCGCCGTTGCAAACTCGTGCACGTCTACTGACACATTGCACCATTGTACCCCGCTCATGGTACCTAAAATTGTAAGCACTAACCCAGACACTTTTCTAATTATGCTAAAGCCGGTGTCTACAAAAGACGTTTTCTCTTTAATTGAATCACTTCATTTGAAGTCATCTCCACTCGACGTGCTCCCAGATTCCTTGTTCAAGCAATGTGCTCCGGAACTCGCCATCATGATCAGGAACATCGCAAATGCCTCCTTCTCTTCGGGGTGTTTTCCGTCCAACCTCAAATCTGGCCTGGTTTCTCCCTTGTTAAAGAAACCAAGTCTAGATCCGGATGACCCATCTAGTTATCGTCCCATCACTAACCTCTCGAACCTCTCTAAACTCCTTGAACAACTAGCCCTCGCCCAGCTAAAACCACACGTCACCTCCTCCGCAAACTACTGCTGCTTCCAGTCAGCTTACCGTCAAAACTATTCCACAGAAACAGCACTCACTAGAGTGCTCGATGACATTTAAACGATCATTGATTCCGGTTCAACTGTTGCACTTGTAAGTCTGGACATTTCGTCAGCCTTCGACACCATCAACCATTCGCTCCTTACTTCCCTCCTGAAATCCGACTTCGGTATATGCGGCTCAGCACTCAAGCGGATAGTTTCGTACCTTTCTGACCGGCAATCTTCAGTCAGGGTGGGCATGTCCACATCGCCTGAAACAACAGCATTATGCGGGGTTCCCCAGGGCTCTGTTCTAGGTCCCCTGGCTCTTCACAGCCTACACTTCCCCGATCGGCCGGCTCATTGCAAGCTTCGGTGTTAAGCATCACTCATACGCGGATGACACGATTCTATTCACCGCCATCGATTCTAGCAATGCATCTGGATTCGAGAGGCTCTCGGAATGTACCACCGCCGTGCAACAATGGTTCACTGCACACAACCTAGCCCTTAATCCGAAAAAGTCAGTGGCCATCATGTTAGGTACCAAGCAACGTCTCAATTCAGCAGCACTCCCCACACACATACACATCTTCGGTCACAGCATCAAGTTCACCGACCACTTCAGCTACCTCGGTGTCATCCTAGATTCAACTTTATCCTTCGACCGTCAAACCAACCATATCATCAGCTCATGTAACTTTCACCTGAAGGCTCTTAGACACATACGTCCTCTCATCTCTACTGAAATTGCCAACACTTTGGCATGTTGCATAGTTGAGTCTCGCCTTGACTATTGTAACTCCGTCCTAGTCCGGACCTCCGCTGGCAACCTAAAGAAACTTCAAAGACTACAAAATAACCTAGCACGCGTCGTCATTGCCCACACTCATCCCCGTCTCGACTCATTAGCTTGTCTCCGTGCTCTCAACTGGCTCCCCATCGCCAGTAGGGTCATCTACAAGACCGCCTGCCTCTGCCACAATGCCTTCATATCCGCCTGCCTGCCGTACCTTTCTTCATTATTGACAACTTGCAGCTCAGCACACGGCAGATGCCTGCGCAACGAGACTCACGACCTCCTCTTGATACCAAGATCCAGGATGGTCATGTCTATGCGCCGCTTCTCGGTGGCAGCCCCAACAGTCTGGAACGATATCCCTCTGCACATTCGCAGCATCACCTCAATCGCCTCCTTCAAGAGACACTTAAAAACTCACCTCTACAATCATGCTTTTGAGCGACTCTGAGCTTGGCTCTGCGCCTCTGAGTTGCGTCTGCAAATTTGCGCGCGTTACGAATTGAACTATTATTATTATAATTGGTTCTTCCCAATCTGGCGTTTGGATCCTACCTCACCCCATTTGACCCTAAATGTTTGATTGAGCGGGAAAACCTTGTTTACCAACTGCTCTCTCACAGCTTGCGAACCGCGAGTAGTTATCACCATTACACTATCACACACACACGAGTGGACATCACTACACTATCACACACACACACGAGTGTACATCACTGCACTATCACACACACACACACATGAGTGTACATCACTACACTATCACACACACACACGAGTGTAAATCACTACACTATCACACACACGAGTTTACATCACTCCACAATCACACACACACGAGTGTACATCACTACACTATGACACACACACGAGTGTACATGACTCCACAATCACACACACGAGTGTACATCACTACACTATGACACACACACGAGTGTATATCACTACACTATCACACACACAGTGTACATCACTACACTACCACACACACGAGTTTACATCACTACACTATCACACACACACAGGAGTGTACATCACTACACTATCACACACACACACGAGTGTACATCACTACACTATCACACACACAGTGTACATCACTACACTACCACACACATACGAGATTACATCACTACACTATCACACACACACACGAGTGTACATCACTACACTATCACACACAGTGTACATTACTACACTACCACACACACACGAGTTTACATCACTACACTATCACACACACACACGAGTGTACATCACTACACTATCACACACACAGTGTACATCACTACACTACCACACACACACGAGTGTACATCACTACACTATCACACACACACGAGTGTACATCACTACACTATCACACACACACACGAGTGTACATCACTACACTATCACACACACACGAGTGTACATCACTACACTATCACACACACACGAGTGTACATCACTACACTATCACAGACACGAGTGTACATCACTACACTATCACACACACACACGAGTGTACATCACTACACTATCACAGACACGAGTGTACATCACTACACTATCACACACACACACGAGTGTACATCACTACATTATCACACCCACCTCGTGTGCCGTGCCGGCCTTCACAGGTGCTCACCAACACCACTTGCCCCTACAGCCTGTGAAAGGTGACACACGGGAGATGTTTGTGTTTGTTGTACACACACATAGACGCTACGGCGGTGTTGATATCCACGCTGCTGCGATCCACTGCCTCCCACGGGCACTACCACACAGTAGGGCTGAACGAATAATCGATTTCAAATTGAAGTCGCAATTTGAGACAATACGATTAGCAAATCGCAAAGGCTGCTATTTTTTGCGATTTGAAAAGTCATTACTTTGTTATTGGAATTGTTTATATTTTTTATTATAACTTTATTTATTTAACTTGACAATTGTTCTATATTTAACTGTTCTTTTTCAATAATTATTTTTTTAATAAATACATGTTCGAAGCAATTCATATATTTTAAGTTCTCATCCTTGCATTAGAATATACAGAGCAGTTCATATTTTGATATCATGCTCCATCACATGTTTTAAATTTATTACACAGTGACTATTGAATTGAAGCTCGACTTAAAAAAATGTAATCGCAAATCAAATCGCAATTCGAGATTCTCCCCAAATCTTGCAGCCCCAGCACACAGAGCGCCCCACCTCCTGGCACCTCGCAAAGCCCCGCAGGGGCTGGGCCTGGGCAAGGCCACCACCACCCTGCCTAGCAGGTGCTACAGGCTGCGGGGCCACGTGGCGGGGCAGTCACCACCCTGCCTAGCAGGTGCTACAGGCTGCGGGGCCACGTGGCGGGGCAGTCACCACCCTGCCTAGCAGGTGCTACTGGCTGCGGGGCTACGTGGCGGGGCAGCAGATGGCGGGGCAAACAAACGCACCGCTGTACTGTACTTCTGTGCTCTCGCCAGCCGTGCCGCCTGCCTTCGCCAACGCGCGGTGACCGGCGTGGTGAAGTATGGTCAAACATCCCTCGCGACCCGCAACGGTGTAGGGAGGCCCTCATCCAGCAGTGGATTAACAAAGTGCCCGTTACATGTCATCACACTGATAGCTACGCATTACAACGTTGTATAACAATGCTCGCTATGAATTGCTCTATTGTAGTGTACGTGCGTGTTAGTGCACGAGTGCTATTGTTATAGTGGTGCTGTTGTTAACACGGCTACTGTGATTATCGTTACTGCAGACGGACGCTCACCGACTGTGGACCCAAACTCGGCCCACAACATCCTCCAGATTTCCTCAGACCTCAGAACGGTGACGCGGACCGCTGTCTCCCAGGGTCGCCCCGATCAACCACACCGCTTTGATCACTGGCTACAAGCCCTGTGCACCGAGAGCTTCTCGTCGGGTCAGCACTACTGGGAGGTGGACGTGGGGGGTGTGGCGGGGATTTGGATGGTTGGAGTCGCGTACGGGACGATCGCACTGAAAGGGAGTGGTAAAGAGTGCGGGCTGGGACAGAACGACTCATCCTGGGTTTTATATAAAAATTCCAACAGCTGCTCAGTGTATCATGGTGGTGTGAAGACCTCAGTGCCGGTGAGGGATCCTCCCCGGAGAGTCGGGTGTCACCTGCACTGGGAGGCGGGGCTGCTGTCGTTTTACCGTGCCGACTCCATGGAGCTGCTCCACTCCGTCCACCACTCGTTTAGTCAACCGCTCTACCCCGCACTGTGTGTGTTGAGTGATGGTGACTCAGTGAGGATTCTGGATCTGAGTCGTGCATCCTGAGAGCACGGAGTGTGAGCAGCGCAGAGGAACGGGCACAACGCCCAGACTTGTGCACACAAAGACAGATACCCCCGTATAGTGTGAACAGGCTGTAGGGGCAAGTGCTGCCAGCAAGCACATATAAAGGCCGGCACTTCACACGAGGGTGTGGGTGGCCACCACCACGCCTGGCCGCCTTTGTCTCCCAAGTGGCGATGTTTACTCATCGCACCAGGTACTTATTTGAGGCTGAGACGACCTAGGGGAGGCCCATGACCGGTTTACCAACACCATTGATAACTATTATCTGAATCGGTCTTGGGTCTCTCCTAGGTCGAATCAGCCTCAAATGAGTACCTGGTGCGATGAGTAATTATCGCCCAAGGGGATACAAAGGCGGGTCTCCGCCAGGCTGGCCTTCATAGGTGCTATTCACTAGCAGCACTTGCCTTAATAGTCTGTTAAGGCAACACTGGGGATCTTTGTTTTTAGTGTATAGAGAGTCATGTGTGCAGTGTGGGGTGGAGCGGTTGTGCAGTGGTTAGCGCACTGGCGGAGGAGGGCGGGGGGAGCCAAGGTTCTCTCTGACGTCATTGTCCCTCGTACCACACCGCACATCGCGTGGCGCTCAACGCCGAGAGTGCTTAGTTCCACCGCGGGCGTGCTGGGAACACGCGTCACGTGACACTGCGGAGGCACACCGTCCCCTCGCGATCACTCGCTCATTGGGCGCTAAACCAGGGGTTGAATCGGATGGCATCACTACGGGGGAACTACTTGTGGTGTGTGCCGAGCGTCACTCTGCTAAAGCATTTTCGTTATAACCTGGGGTCGAGGGACTCCTCCACCCGCCAAAGTAGTTGTACAGGGCATAGAGATAGAGAAGCCATATTAACACGTAGTAATAGTAGGAGGGCTTTCACCACCAATATTTTTCGTGAAAAAGGTTTTTTTGTTTAACGTTTTAATCCTGCTCTCAGATTGAGACTTTGGACCTCCAGCCACACACTAGGATTCATGGGATAACGCCTCTCTCTGCTGACAAAAATTGGAACTGTCTTTTGTCTTTGAAGTTTGTTATTTAATTAAGCCTGATATATATCTAGAGTAAAGATCTACCTTACACTACAACACGACTAATATTGTCTCAACACGCATTATTAACACAGATAAACTGTTATTACGGGGATAATGACAACGCAAACTCCAAACATACAGCAGCTTTCAAGGGTCGTAATCCAACCAACGACCTAATTCATACCAGGCGAGGGAGTTAACATCTCCGAGCCACCTGTGAATTGTAATCACATTGTATTGTGGGTCAAGGGTCAATATGTTCTGGGTGAATAAAAAAAATCTGAAAATATTGTTAATATTGTCATCCAGGCTGTGAATGTGACTCTCATAGCTGAGACTGACTTGTGTAAACATGTATTTTTTTGGGATGGTTGCTGTTGTTTTGTTTGTATATATGTTATATTAAGGGATATTAAACCCTGGCACAGTTAGTAAATCTACAGCTTACGCCTTCACAGGTAAGTGCTGTCTGTAACCTTGGGCCACATTCCATGGCGCATCTCGTGGTTTTTTTTGCAGCACTCTGTCAGTTTGCTTGTTCCTCGTCATCATGAGCTATGATGATGAATGAATCCTGACTGATGGATGATAATGAAAAGCACGATGATGATAATGACGACGCTTGGTAATGATGACCACCACCCACTCGCCTGCACCCAACACTCTCCTACCCGACACCTGCCACTCCCGAACCTACTACCCCCTCAGCCGTCTACAGAGACCCTCCCTCCCACCTGCCCACACTCACACCTGCTCAGCCATACACCTGCCCATCCTGCCACCCTCCCACCACATGCTTAGTCAAGCGCCCATTCCCGGCTGATCTCCCTCACACCTGCAAACCCACTTACCTACCCGCACAAAGGCAAAGATCCCCCGTATATCCTGAACAAACTGTTGGGCAAGTGCTGTTAGCGAGCATCTATGAAGGCCAGAATGGCACACGAATGGGTGGATGGCCAGCACCAAGCCCTGCCGCCTTTGTCTCCCGAGTGGTGATATTTATACTCTACACCAGGTACTCATTTGAGGCTGAATCGACCTAAGGGAGGCCCATGACCGGTACAGACAATGCTCATTGGTGTTGGTGGCCATGAGTGGGAATTTAACTTGGATCGGCAGATTCATAGCACAGCGCACTAACCACTACAACACCAATCTCCACCCACACACATCTCAACCACCCACACGATCACCCTCCTTCCCTCCCACCTGATCCCCCACTCATTTACATGTGAAGTTGTGAGATTATTTGTCAAAAAAATTACAATATTGATGGTTACTATTTTTTTAAAGACAATTTTAAACAGTTAAGCTAAAATAAATCCAGGACAAATAAATGTCAATGATAGAGACGACATACTTTTTTTTAAACCTTTAATATTACATTTTTACACCATGTGAACCTCATTTGCCAGTAAAAATATGATAATTGTTTTTTTACCCTTCTATCTGGCAACAAAACTGACACCTTTTTACAAGGAGTCATGTTTTCATAGACCGCAATACCTGCAGTCATAATACAAACAAAAGACATAACTCTGATAATGTGCACTGTCCTTGAAGTTGATTGGTCCACAATTATATTTTTACTGGAAAATGAGGTTCCCATGGTGTAAATGCTTACCCCGAGCTCATCGGATTCCTCCTGCAGTATAAATATTCCGATTCTGATGTACGTCAGTTCAAAGATGCCAAATTAACATGTGATAATAACAAATCGTATTACCGGTGTCTGCTTTGATCCACATTGCTCACCGTAGCTGCTGGGCTGTTCGGAATGTACCACTCAGCGGGTGGGGGGTGGGTATAGCAACAATATCGCATTGACTTTAACTTTAAAACATAACAAAAAAAACCAAAGCAAGAAACAAAATCACTGCAACTGTTATTGTACGATGATTAATAAATTCGAATTTGATTCGACGGAATATGGCAAAGTTTTCCTCGTAAAATTGTGAAATAATAGAATACAATCACCCCTGTGGTTGGTAATGGTTTCTCTCTCCGTGGGTCATCGCGTGTTCGTCTCCGCTGTGTGGGCTGCTCACACAGCGTCTCCTGAACAGAACACACCTCGTCAATGGTAATCAACATCTCACGATATTATAAACATAAAGGATTTTTGTTGAAATATATTCTCTGAGCCACAGTGAGGAACTATTTTGGGTGCATCCTCGAGTCATGGCGAGCGCAGCTCCCGCTGAGAACGTGGACCGTGAGTTGACCTGCTCCATCTGCCTGGACACGTTTGACTGTCCCTCCACGCTGAGCTGCGGCCACTCGTTCTGCCTCCAGTGCCTGGAGGACGCCTGGAAGGAGGCAGACTCCTACTGCTGTCCGCAGTGCCGCAAGACCTTCCCTCGATGACCCCAGCTGACCAGGAACGTGATGATCGCCAACCTCAGAGCAGCTGCGAGTGACTGAGACCATGGCTGCTGCTGCTGATGGTGTTGTTTTCTGTGACAACTGCCCAAAAGGCAAGACGCTTGCAGTGAAGACCTGCCTCAGGTGTGAGACGTCCTTCTGCAGGGAACACCTCGTGCCTCACCTGGAAAATACGAAGTTTAAAGATCACGTCCTGGTTTCACCAGATGTGAAGTGCAAGAGGCACAACGAGGAACTCAAGTTCTACTGCAAGCAAGACCTCAGCCTCGTGTGCAGGGACTGCACCATTGCAGGAGACCACACAGGTCATAAGTTCATCATACTGGAGGATGAGCATCAGACACGGAAGGTGAGGCCCGCGTGGGTTGAGTTGGAGTCACTCCACCCTTCCCAGCAAGATGGCGGCAGCGTGATGGCAGCGTGTGAGTGGCTCTGCATGAGTGTGAATGAGTGTGAACTGTGTGTGAGAATGTGAGTGTGTGTGAGAGTGGAGACGTGTGTGAGGGTGGGCCGCGTGTGAGAGGGAGACGTGATTTTTTTTTAGATCGCTGTTGTTGTTGAGATCGCTGTTGTTCTGTGTGTGGTGAGGAGCGCGCGTGTGTGTGTCACCCAGCGGTGTCGACGGCGTCGACGGCGTCGGTGGTGGGTGCGGGTGCGCGTGGTGGGTGCGTGTGCGCGCGTGGTGAGTGCGTGTGCGCGCGTGGTGAGTGCGTGTGTGCACACACGCGGCTCAGGGGCGCCGGGCTGAGCGCGGGGACCACCACCACAACCACGGCCACCACCGCAGCAGCACTAACCACAACCACCCAGACCACCACAACACCAACGACCGCAGCCACCCACACCAACAACAGCCACCCACACCACGTCGGGGCCTACGTCGGGGCCTGCGTCGGGGCCTGCGTCGGGGCCTGCGTAGATGCCTGCGTAGAGGCCTACTTGAAGCCTACTTGAAGCCTACTTGAAGCCTACTTGAAGCCTACTTGAGGCCTACTTCGAGGAAGCCTACGTGGAGGGCTACATGGAGGCCTCCGTGGAGGGCGCTCGTCAAATGGGCGAGAAGCCGTACATGTGCGACGAGTGCGGCAAGACATTACTCGCGCTCGGCCTACCTGTACGTTTTCACGTGTGTGTTTAACTGTTGTGGTTCTTTGTTTTTTTAAAGATGGCAGTTCTGCTGTGTATTCTACTGCTGTCCCTCCCGGCCATATCTAGTGCCAAACACAACTCCACCACTGGCAGCCCTCGTTTTTTCGAGTCCATAGTTGATGCTCCATTTGCCACTACACCTGCTAGTGAAACAGCTTATAGCCACTTCTACACTCCATCATTGTATCCTTTTAAACCCTATCTCTGTCCTATTACTTCACCAGCACTCCTTCCTAACTTCATTCTGCTCTTAAAAATGTCACCATACGTAAGCAGCTGCTATTCGTCCAAGGTTTGTCGCTCTTCATCCATTCACAGAAAATACTTGTGCAAACTATTAATTCTACTTTTCTTATTTCTGGGAGGTATTGAGCTTCACCCTGGCCCAAATGTAAAGAACTCATTTAATTCTGTAGATTTTTCTGGCAGAAAAGGTGTTGGTGTTCTACACGTCAACATCAGAGGGCTTGTGATTAAATTAAGTCAACTAAAACTAGAAGTGGCAAATCTGGACCCAGACATTTTCTGCCTTACAGAAACATTTCTCACTCCGGCCGTCAATGACTTGCAGATTACGATTGACAACTACATCCTTTTTCGACTTGATCGAGGGTCTAAAGGAGGTGGAATTGCCATATATGTTCGTAGTACTATTGCATGTTCACCAGCTCATTCCTTGTTAAAGATATATTGCTTTGAAGGTCTGGCTCTCAAAATCACTCTCCCTAAAAATCAACAGATATTGGTAGTGTGCTGCTATAGACCGCCTAGTGGTAAGGATGTTGAAGCTGGGAACGCCCTGAGGGAGCTTCTTGGGGGCCTTCCTAAAGGTGAAATCATTTTAATGGGTGATCTTAATTGGAATTGGCTAAACCCACCGGCCGTGGCCACACATTTTGCAGATG